AACCTGGGACCCTTCAGTCCGCAGGCCGACGCTCTATTCACTGAGCCAAACCGGTTTCGGCAAGAAAAAAGAATTTTTAAAATGAGGATAGTTTAAGGGACCTCTGGGACAGCGGTTGCCAACCAATGGTCTGTGGAACACTGGTGATCTGTGAGGTCCAAAAGGTTGGCAGCCACTGCTCTGGGACAACATAAAGCAGAACATTTGCACCATAGGGGTACCAGAAGGACAGAGATATCAAGGGTTTGAGAACCTATTTGAAGAAATAATGATTTAAAACTTCCCCAACCTGGTGAAGGAAAAAGAGATACAAGCCTAGGAAGTACAGAGAGTCCCAAACAAGATGAACCCAAAGAGGCCCACACCAAGACACATAATAATTAAAATGGCAGAGGTTAAAGACCAAGAGAGAATCTTAAAATCAGTAAGAGAAAGACAGTTACTGACAAGTGAGGTCCCATAAGACCAATTTCTCAACAGAAACATTTCAGGCAGAAGAGATTGACACAAGATATTTAAAGTGATAAAGAGCAAGAATCTACAACCAAGACTACTTTACCCAGCAAGGTTATCTTTTGTCCTAGCTGGTTTGGCTCAGCCAATAGAGTGTCGGCTTGTGGACTGAAGGGTCCCGAGTTCACTTCTGATCAAGGGCACATGCCTGAGTTGCAGACTCGAATCCCCGTAGGGGGCATGCAGGAGGCAGCCTATCAATGATTCTCTCTCATCATTGATGTTTCTATCTCTTTATCCCACTCCCTTCCTCTCTGAAATCAACAAAAAAATATTTTAAAAAAACATATATACCCCCCTATGTTCACTGCAGCATTGTTTACAGAGGCCAAGACGGAAAAAGCGGAAGTGTTCTTTGCCAGATGATTGGATAAATGTGTGATACATGTTTACAGTGGAATACTCCTCAGCCACAAGAAAACATGACATACAGCCATTTAGGACAACATGGGTGGATCTTGAGAACATCATGCAAATTAAATAAGTCAAACAGAAAAAGGTAAAAACCATACGATTTCACTCACATGCGGAATATAAAACTGAAAGCAGCAAATGAACAAACAAGAAAAAGAAACAAACCAAAACTCACAGGTACAGATAACAGTGTGGTGGTCACCAGAGGACAGGGGCTGGGGTGGGAGGAAAGGGTAAAGGGGTCAATATAGGTGACAGAAGATGTGACTTTGGGTGATGGGCACACAATGCAAGATACAGATGATGTACCATAGAACTGCACACTGAAAACCTCTATAATCTTATTAACCAATGTTACCACAATAAATTAAATTTTAGAAAATGAGATATAAATAGCAAAAGAAGGACATACAGAAAGCCAACAGACATATGAAAAGATGCCCAATGTCACTCATCATTAAATAAACGCAAATTAAAACTACAATGAAATATCACCTCACACCTGTCAGAATGGCTGTCATCAGTGTATCAACAAGCAACAAGTTTTGGTGAAGATGTGGAGAAGGGGGAGCCCTCACGTGTTGCTGGTGGGAATACAGACTCGTGCAGCCCTGTGGGAGACAGTGTGGAGGTTCCTCAAAAAATTAAAAATGGAACTGCCTTATGACCCAACCATTCCACTTCTGGATGTACATCTGAAGAAACCCAAAACATAATTGGGAAGAACATATGCACCCCTGTGTTCATTGCAGCGTATGTACAATAGCCAAGATATGGAAGCAGCCCGAGTGCCCATCAATAGACAAGTGATAACAATATGGTGGTACATAGAGGGTGGGGAAAAAGTAGGTTTACCATTATGAGTAGGCTAAATACAGAGTTTCTTCTTGTATTATTATTTCTTAATTATTGTATTATTTTCCACACTACAGGTCTGGTGCACAAAAATTTGTGCACTTGGGCGGGTCCCTCAGCCCTGCCTGTGCCCTCTCGCAGTCTGGGACCCCTCGGGGGATGACCACCTGCTGGCTTAGGCCTGCTCCCCGGGGAATTGTGCCTAAGCTGGCAGTCAGAAATCCCTCTGGCAGCCTGGGAGCCCTCGGGGTATATCCACTTGCGAGCGGGGAGCAGGCCTAAGCTGCAGTCGGACATCCTTAGTGCCGCTGAGGAGGTGGGAGAGGCTCCCACCACCACCGCTGTACTGGCAGCTGTCAGGCTGGCTTGTGGCTGAGTAGAGCTCTCCCTGTGGGAGTGCACTGACCACCAGGGGGCAGCTCCTGCATTGAGCATCTGCCTCCTGGTGGTCAGTGTGTGTCATAGTGACCAGTCATTCCCAGTCGTTCTGCTGTTAGGGTCAATTTGCATATTACCCTTTTATTATATAGGAGTGCCTGGCCAGCCTGGGTGAGGGGCTGATGGCTGTTTGCAGGCTGGCCACGGCCCCCAGCCACCCAAGTTCCCAGTGGAGGCTGGCTGAAAGCAGGTATCTGGTATTTATTTGTCTTCTATAATTGAAACTTTGTTGCCATGAGTGGAGGCCTCAGCTGGCTCAGGGCTGGCAGGAAGCTTGACTTCCTCCATCGCCGGGGCAACCAAGCCTCCTGCTTGCTCCAGCTCCATGGCTGCCAGCGGCCATCTTGATTGGGTTAATTTGCATATAGTCGCTTTGATTGGCTGGTGGTCATGGCTTAGGGCATAGCAAAGGTACGGTCAATTAGTATCTTTGTCTTTTTTTTTTTCTTAAATATATTTTATTGATTTTTTACAGAGATGAAGGGAGAGAGATAGAGAGTTAGAAACATCGATGAGAGAGAAACATCGATCAGCCGCCTCCTGCACATCTCCTACTGGGGATGTGCCCGCAACCCAGGTACATGCCCTTGACCGGAATCGAACCTGGGACCCTTCAGTCCAGAGGCCGATGCTCTATCCACCGAGCCAAACCGGTTTCAGCAGTATCTTTGTCTTTTATTAGTGTAGAAGAATAACTATAAACCTACTTTTGCCCCATCCTATATGTACAATGAAATATTACTGGGCCATAAAAAAAAGAAATCTTACCATTATGCTAAGTGAAACAAGTCAATCAGAGAAAGACAAATACCATATGATTTCACCTATATGTGGAATCTAAAGAATAAAACAAACAAACAAACAAATGAGAAACAGGCTCATAGATACAGTTAACAGACTTACAGTTGCTGGGTGCGGCGGTGGTGGTGGTGGTGGTGGTGGGGGGGTTTGAGGGAGCCACCTCAGGCTCCACAGGCCCTCCTGGGTCCTGGCCCCAACCTGCAGGTGCGGGACCCACCCCAGCCGGGCACCAGCCATGCCCCCCAAATCCTACTCCAGCAGGAACTGCGCGTCACTGCCTGGGGCAGGAGGGGCTCCACAGCCCCTTCTCACTCCTGGATTTGAAACTGAAGCTCCTCGGTCCGCTGGGAGCCCCGCCCACCCCCGGGGAGAAAGGAGGGCTCTGCGGCCTGAGGGGCGGTGCACCGCGGTGCCTCTCCAGCAGGGGCGCCAGCGCCAGGACAGCAGCCTCGGGGGGACTGGGGTCCCCTCTCCACCCTCCTCTCTGCCGCCTCCAACCAACCAGGACCCGGGAGCTGGGGGAGCCGGAGGGCGGGCCGGGAAGACGGGGACTGGCTGGTCCCGGGTCCCTGCAGGTCCGCCCTGCTCGGGAGAAGCTCAGGATGGGAGACTGAGGACCTGGTGGAAATGAGGCTGCACTTCATCTGGTCCCAGGAGTTGATCACATTGGAAAATGGGGATTAGGCGCGCCCCCGGGTCTGAGGGAGCAGCGGTGACCATGGAAACACAGCACCTCCTGTTTGCAGGCGGCCACGTCCAAGTCATTAAAGCCTCCATGACACACTGACTGCGACTGAAGGAGGAACAGGGACGGTCTGCACCCTCTGGGGGCGGCCCTCCGGGCTGTGGCCTCCAGCCCCGGGCAGCAGACTCCCCTCCACCCCAGCCAAGAGAGCCGCCAGGTCGCCCTCTTCCAGCTGCAGCCATAGCTGCCCCTCCACCTGGTCCACCTCCCAGAGCCTGGGCTCCCCCAGCAGCCGGACCGCCCACTGGCCGCCTTGGCTGTGCCCACAGGTAAGTGCACTGAGTCCAGAGCAGTTTTTCATGCAGTTTAATGAGCTCCAGAGGGTGGGGAGGAGGCAGGAGTCCTGCAGAGCCCGCCAACTTCAGAGCACATCCCGCCTTTCCCTTCTGCCTGTCAGGGGAGAGAGGCTGATGCAGGTGCTGAGGCGGGAGGATCTCAGAGCAGGTGGGGGCGGGGGGAGGGGTGGAGGAGGCGCTAGGGGCAATGAAGAGCTGGCACTGGGAGGGAGCAGGGAGGGTCCCCCAGACACCCTGTGGGCCTGTCTTCATCTCTTGGGCAGCATCCTTTCCCGGCCCCGGGCTCAAGGAGAGGAACGAATATGACCGCGGATCCAAGGCAAGAAGGATGTCACTCGGGCATAGACTCCAGGAAAGTTGGGAAGACCGCAGCCTTTCCCCCAACTCACCACGCCAGCCTGGACCCAGGTGCCCCTCCATTTACAGACCAAGGGGCCCCCAGAGTCACTCTGTGGGAAGAGGAGACAGGTGGTCAGTACTCAGGGCCCCTGCGGGCAGGAGCAACGGATGGAGGCCACAGTCTTGGGGTCTCACCTGGCAGGAGTCCCGGCCTTCGCTCCCGGCACACAGCATGTCGTCCTGGATAATATTGCCATATTGCTGCCGACAGATCTCATTCGCCACGATGGGGACCTCCACCTCCTGCAGATTGTAGGGCGGCGGCAGCGGCTCTGTGAGAAGAAGCCCAGTGAGCCTGTGGTCCTGAGGGGGCGTACAGTCACAGGCCGCGGGTTCTAGAACCACAGGCTGAGCCTCAGTGCCCCCGGGGGACCCAGGGAGTCACCCAAGACCCCAACTGTCTGGGTTCACTCGAGGCCAATGGGCTGACAATCTCTAGGCTGACACTGTGGGCAGCAAGCTCCAAAAAGAAACAGGGAAACATATTTTTATCCACAAATAATTTTTATTGGGAAGAATCAGAGCAGGTGCTTCCCCAAGAAATGCAGAGTGAGCGGCCTGCTGTCACATTTGACTTTGTCCATTTAATAGTGAATCCTGGAGCTCGTCACTGAAGTTCCCTCCTCGTTCTCCATCCCACTATCGAGACTCAGGGAGAACGGGGACCCCGGAAGGGGAGACACAGGGCCTGTTGCAGAGTGAGGGAGAGAAATGCCCATGGCACCCTGGCCAGTGTTTCCAGTGGTGAGAGCACTGGCCTCAAGGGTCCCAGGTGTGATTCTTGGTCAAGGGCAAGTAACTGGGTTGCAGGTTCAATCCCCAGCCCCAGTCGGGAAGATATTTAACAGATATGTCCCTCACATCAATGTTTCTCTCTCCCTGTCCTTTCCACTCTCTAAAAATCAATGGAAGAAATATCCTTGTGTGATACTTAAAAAAAAAAAAATGCCCATGGCCATGCCTCACTCTTGCTATTTTGGTCTCTGCTCCTGACAGACTCCTCTCGAGCTGTCTGCCTCCTACACCCAAGGGAGACCCCAGAGGGATCCCACCTCAGACCACAGCTGAGCCTCCTCTCTAAAGCCCGGCCCGCCCCCTGCATCGCCCTCAGTCTCCTCCTCCCACTCCCAAGCGACACCTGGTTCTCACCTCCAGAAGCAATGCGGCCCCAGCCAGTCACCCAGCACCGTGTGCCTGGGGGGAATGCGGAGGAGGCTGGCGGGAGGCGGATCCACCTGACGAGGTTAGATGGTCGCACGGGGGCCTCCAGTTTGAGAAGTGCCACGTCCGCCCCACCTTTTGCTCCTTCTTTAAGGCTGTACTTGGGGTGGCTGATGATCCTGGCCACCTGCACACTGTCACTGTTTGAGGGTCTCACTTGTCCTAGTTGGACCTTCAAGTTCTGAGTCACTGGGTTTCTCCTGGGGACAGAAGGGCAAACGCTTCTGAGAGGCTGTGGCAGGGAGTGGGTCAGCCCCTCAGAGCCCAGAGACCTCCCCTCTGTGGTGGGCAAAGGGAGAGCCAGGAAGCTGAATCCTGGTGGGGGGTCTGCAGCCACTCAGTCCAGGATCTGCCCCCAACACACACAATGCCTCCCGACACTGTCCACCCCCCGACCCCCCACATGGGTGCTGGCAGAGTAAGACTTACCCTGGAATGCAGTGGGCAGCGGTCAGCACCCACTGGGGATGGATGAGGGAGCCCCCACACCAGAAAATCCACTGAGCATTTGGTTGATTCCTGACCCACAGGCCCACCTGCCACGGCCACGCCCCATCGGCAGCATCATGCCCACCCACGATGCCCACCAGCTCAGTCCCTGGGCCGGGATCTGGGGAAGCAGAGGAGGAGCCATCAGGGACCCAGGCACCGCTGCCCGGCACTCAGCATGGCCCCATCCTCAGTCCCTCCCAGAGCCACCCTCAGAGGGGGATCGCCACCCATCCCAGGGGCGGCCTCTGAGAGGTCAGTCAGGGGTTAGGAGAAAAGCCAGGCTTGGGGGTCAGGACTCACTTGAGGTCACAGGTACAGAGCCCCCCAGACAGGGGAGAGTCAGGACCAGCAGCCACAGCATCTGCAGGGGGAGAGGGGAGGGAGGAGAGCCAGTGAGGAGATGTGGGGTGGGACACAGCCTGGGAATGGAGAGGATGGGGCTTTGAGCAGTGTCCTCACCATGCCAGGTCTGTCTGCCTCTGTCCTGGACCCTCTGAGCCCCTTTATCCTCCTGCCCAGACTGGCCCAAGGGGAAGCCGCCCTCCTTTGGGGTGGGGCCTGGGAGGAGGCGGGGCTTATCTCTTCAGTGGGACCAGTGGTGACCAGCAGACCAGCTATCAGATAAGAAACATGGTGTTTCCTCTCTGAGAAGACACTCAGTATTGGTGCTGGAGCCCCAGCTGGTTTGGCTCAGTGGGTAGAGCGTCAGCCTGTGGACTGAAGGGTCCCAGGTTCGACTCCAGTCAAGGACACATACCTTGGTTTCAGGTTCCTCGGCCCTGGTCAGGGTTCATGCAGGAAGCAAACAATCAATGTGTCTCTCTTACATAGATGTTTCTGTCTCTCCCTCTCCCTCCCACTCTCTCTAAAAATCAATGGAAAAATATCCTTGGGTGAGGATTAACAAAAATAAAAATATTGGTCTGGAGACATTTCAGTGGTAAGATGACAGTTTGCACATGAAAAAAAAAGAAATGAGATGCTTTGCTTAGTCCTGTACACCGAAGGGTCTACAATTTGATTCCCAGTCAGGCCTCATACCTAGGATGAGGGTTCCTTCCCCGATCAGGACACGTACAAGAGGCAAACGACCTATGTTTCTCACATCTCTCTCCGTTCCTCTCCCTAAAATCCAACAGCATGTCCTCAGGTGAGGAACTAAATAAATGATAAGGAAATCAGATGCTCTGAAACAACACAGAGCAGGGGCACGGATGGGATGGGGGCTGGCACCTGAGCCAAGAGCGGGGGGTGAGGGGCGGAAGGAGAGCAGCAGACCCAGTGCTCCCCTGCCCCCCTCCTTCTTTTGAGACTCCCAGTGTCCCCAAAAAGGACAGACTCGCTGGACCTGCAGACAGAGTTTGCCAGCAACACCATGAGACAGAGGAGGCAGCTTCCCTGGAGCCTTTGGAGGGAGTGGGACCTGCTGACACCTTGATTGTAGACTTCCTGCCTCCAACACTGTGACAAAATAAAGTTTTATTTAAAAGTCCGGGTCTGAGGCATCTGTAACGGCCGCCCCAGGACACTCAGGCATCTGCTCAGCTGTCCTCATACATCCTATGCATGATCAAGCTTTGTCAAAATGCACAGGGGAGGGTGTGAGAGGTGCCAATTTGATGCTAGTTCTGCTCACCTCTCCTCAGCTCCTGCACATGCCCCCACCCCAAAGCGCTGGGAGCCAAATCCCCTCTCATACACCCTGCTTTCAGAATGGAGGAGCTCTGTCCCTGAAGTCCAACCCCAGGAAGAGGCCGGCCACCTGCCAGGGACATGTTTTTCTGCCTTTGACATCTGAGAATCATTCTCCACCAAGCATGGGACAGGGCCAGGCAGTGGTTTGAGAGGAGAAGGAAGAGGGGTCCCCACACTCCTGAACCACTGCCCGGTGTTCTGTTCCCCTTGAGCCCAGTGAGGAGACCATCAAGGGATGCTTTGCAGCACTTAGATGAGCTCAGGTCTCTAGAAACCCATCATTCCCTCCTGGGGCCAGAGTCCCTGTCATCCTTGCTGATATGTTGGTGTCTCCGGGGGCACCCAGAATCAGAATCCTCAGGGGACATTGGGGATCTCGACAGGAAACAACCAGGATCCAACATGCCCGGGGGCCCGTGGTGGGGGGATTGAGCACCCAGGAGGGAAGGGGCTGGGCTCCCAGACCCAACAAGTCCTACAGGCCCAGGGGGGAGACCTCTGGGTGGTAAGGGGGGGCTTCCTCCCTCCCTTCCTCTGGTCTGGACAGAGCCCCCACCTTTACCCACCTCAACAGTGGATGTGGTTTTGGGGCTGGTTCTGAGCCCAGATGACAGGAAGGCAAGTCACAGCGGTGTCAGCGGGAGGCCACAGGCCCCAACGCCCAGCCTGATGCTGGACCCAGGCTTCCCGTCCCCTGGCACCAGACTGGGCGATAACCAGCTGGGCCAGACCTGGGACAAAGACTGCATTTGGGCATTAGGAGCAGATCTGCCCGAAACAGAAACAAGAGGTTTCAGGGTCTAGGGCGGTAATGTCATGACCATCATTGGCAGATAATATGATCTTCCTCCTGGAAGAGCCAAAAGCCTCAATGAAAAGGTTTGAAGATTAAGTTTCCCAAGGTGTCTACATGGAAGACAAATGTTTTACACACAAATCAGGAGAGAAAGAAGGAGAAACTCATCTTTAACCCCAGGCATAGCTAATGCGATGCCATATGGTAGAGACCCCGTTCACGGCCAGGTCCATACATTCCTGATCTAGAGTCCGTGACAACCACAAAACTTCCTTGAGAAGGACACTCAAACGAAATAAAATGTCATTCAATGTTGTTAACAAGAGACGGTGTCATCCAATATCAACTCTTCCAAACTCCCAATAGAATGTGAACTGCAGGCAAGTCTGGAACATTCAAAGTGACCCCCAAGTTTGCCAGGAGGAAAATACAGGTGGGGGTGTCCCAGGAAGCCACAGGGCATAGTGAGGCAAACTAGGCAGTTGGTACCATAAAGCTGTGGGAATGGGAACCGAGTGTTCATTCAGTGACACAGGGCGAGGGAACGGCCTGGCCGACCTGCCCATCCTCCTAGACTCAGCCTCAGTGACAGCATAGCAGCAGGCAAATGCACAGTATCAGCTCACAGCAAAGAAGGAGGAGACGGCATCGGTGAGGGGCCCTGGGAATCAGATGGAGGGGATGAAGAAGAGGGGCTTGGGGAGAAGTGCAACCCCCTGTTCTGGTGCTTGGTTTGAAACCACCTCACTGTGCAGGACACATGCAGATGGGGCCACCTTGAACGTGAGGGACCCAGGCAACTCAGATCTTGGCAGGAGCTGAAGAGGGTCACCCAGCTCAGAGGAAGGTGGTGAGAGCCAGGAGACTGGAAACATGGTCAGGACCCAGGCCCTCCTCTCCCTCCTGCAGTCGGGGTCACCCCAGGAGGAGGGTGAAGGATCCATCTCTAGAGAACATCAGGTCCCAGCAAACAGAGGACTGGCATCTGGGAGGCCCAGGTCTCTGCCCAGTCATCTTAGAACAGAATGAACTAGTCCACCAGCCAACCAGGCTGACAGATGCGAGTCAGCATTTGAACTGTTAATAAACACAGTTGTTTCTGTTCCTTAGAAAAGTGTTCTTGCACCCGACTGGTGTGGCTCAGCAGGTGAGTGTCAGCCCAGGAACCAGAGGTCCCAGGTTTGATCAGGGCACATGCCCAGGTTGCTGGCCCAATCCCCAGTAGGGGGCGTGCAGGAGGCAGCTGATCAATGATGTCCCTCTCTCTCTCATTGATGTTTCTACCTCTCTATCCCTCTCCCTTCCTCTCTCTAAGTATACTTGTTTATGGTGGTAATTTTTGTCATAAACCTGCCCAAAACTTAGTGATTTGCTCTTACATATGAAGAAAACTGTGGGGCTGACCAGGAAAGCATTGAGTTGGAAAGTTAGAAACCAAAGGAAAAACAAATGAAAAAAAAGTTATTCAGACCTATTCAACTGGCAATGATGAGGAATAGAAGAAGTTTGCGTAAGTTTTCAGGGAGGTTGGAGAAGACACTGCATTTATGAAACAAGGATTAAATACAGTTTTCTTCTCACATCAGATAATAACCAAGCAGACAATGACCAAGCAGTCCTTGGACATTAAAAATATACAAATTAGTCCGGGCCAGTGGTTTGAACAGTTGTTAGAACATTGGCCCGCCTACCTAAGGGTCTCAGGTTTGATTCCCCGTGCAGGTTCCATGTGTGGGAGGCAACCAATCAATGTGTTTCTCTCCCACTGATCTCTCCCTCACCCACCCCTGCTCTCTCTCCCCCCTTTCCCACTCCCTCCCATTTCCATCTCCCATCTTTCCACTATCTCCAGAAATCAATGGAAAATATATCCTTGGGTGAGGATTAGCAAAACTATTTTTTTAATAGAACAAAAGAACAAAAAGGCGCCTTCCTGTTCTTTAACAACCTGAAAAATACAAAGCAAAGCAAAAAAAAACACCCAAAAACCTGTGCTCAGCTGCCCACCACTGGATGGTCCATGGGCCACGCCACCTGCTTCCCCTGCCACCAGAGGCGCGTGGCCAGCTGTGCAGACAAGTAAGTGCCAGGTCTCAGCGGGAGCAGCTCTCACAGGTGCACCTCAGACCCGCTGCCCAGCGCCTGAGCCTGGGAGGAGCGGCATTTGGAATAGCTCCCCAGGGAGAAGGGGCAACTGTGAGCCATCAGCCAGGGCTAGTCATTCTGCGCAGCCCCCAGAGTTCCTGGGCCACTCCCTGAACAGATGCTGAGATGGGCAGGGACGCCGGCTGGTCTCCACAGGAGCCACAGCAGGTGTTTCAACAGCCTGGAAACTAGAGCCAGGCTCTCAGGTGCCCAAGGAAACGACTCAGTGCCCAGGATGGGACCGCCCAGGGCTTCTGTCCCTGGCCCCGCTGGGGACCAGCCCCTTCGGGCTCCAGCAGACGCTCTTCCTGGGGAAGCCAGAGAGAAGGGCTGGAGGGCAGAGGCCAGCCCTGCCTCTGCAGGGTCCCTATCATGTTCTCCAGGTCCCCTCCCCCTCGTCCCCACCTCTGCAGGCCTGGCCCTGACTGGCACCCCTCGGGAACCTCCTTCCTGGTCCCAAGCCCTTCAGAGGCTTTGCCTGCTCCAACTGTCCCATAACCATCAAAATAGGGCGAGAGAGTGTGGGACACCCCGGGGTTCACCTGGGCTACACACCTTCCTCCTGTCCATGGCGGCCACAGCTCTACCCCCTCTGGGTTAGCAGAGTCAGGTACCCCTGCTGTTAGAGGGTAAGTGTGTCCCCCAAAACATATGCCTAAGTCCTACCCCCTGGCACTTGTGAATGGGACCTCCTTTGGAAATAGCCTTTGCCATGTAACCAGGGTTGGATGAAGGCATGAAAGAGGGGCCCTCATCCAATATGACTGGTGTCCTTGTGGGAAGAGGACAGAGACAAACAGGAGGGCAGACCATGTGGCCATGGAGGCGGAGACTGGAATTAAGCAGTGCAGCCAGGAACA